CATCTTCTTGATCCATTCGTCCGTTGATGGACACTTAGGCTCTTTCCATGTTTTGGCTATTGTGGAGAGTGCTGCTGTGAACATTGGGGTACATGTGCTCCTGTGCCTCAGCATTTCTATATCCCTTGGGAAAATTCCTAGCAGTGCTATTGCTGGGTCCTAGGGGAGTTCTATTGTTAGTTTCCTGAGGAACCTCCACACTGTTTTCCAGAGGGGCTGTACCAGTTTACATTCCCACCAACAGTGCAGGAGGGTGCCCGTTTCTCCACATCCTCACCAGCATCTCGCGTTCTCTGATTTGCTCATTTTAGCCACTCTGACTGGCGTGAGGTGGTATCTCAGTGTGGTTTTGATTTGTATTTCCCTGATGAGTAGGGATGCTGAGCATCGTTTCATGTGTCTGTTGGCCATCTGGATGTCCTCTTTGGAGAAGTGTCTGTTCATATCTTCTGCCATTTCTTCACTGGGTTGTTTGTTTTTCGGGTGTGGGGTTTGGTGAGTTCCTTATAGATTCTGCATATTAACCCTTTATCTGATATGTCATTTGCAACTATCTTTTCCCATTCCATTGGTTGCCTGTTAGTTTTGTGGGTTGTTTCCTTTGTCGATACTTGATCTTATTTATACCTTTAGAATAACCCTGAAAAGCACCTATTATTATGACCTTTTTTTTTTTTTTTTACAAATGAGAAAATTATTGGTTATATAGCTTGCCTCAAATAGTTAATAAATGGTAAAGATTCAAATACTCTTTTCTCTGACTCCAAAGCCTATAATCTTTGCCTTAGTGTAGGGTATTCTTTGGAAATCCTTCAGATGACCTGCTGACTGATACAGTGTATAAGAGTGATATGGATGTATGATTTCTTTTTTTTTCGTTAAAGTTTATTTTTGAGACAGAGAGAGGGATGGAGAAGAAGTGGGAGAGGGGGCAGAGAGAGAGGGAGAGAGAGAATCCCAGGCAGGCTCCATACTGTGAGCACAGAGCCCAATGCATGGCTCGAACCCATGAGCTAGGAGATCATACCTGAACCAAAGTCAGATACTTAACCGACTCAGCCACCCAGGTACCCCTAAATGTATGATTTCTGAATGAGGTTCCTAACCCAACTCAAAGAGGAGAGAGGGAAAAATGGGGATGAGACAAAGGTGAAATATATACGTTTTTATTGTTGGGAAGTTATGATTTGCAATTTGATAAGGTTGGGTAATAGTTCCCTTCTGATTTCTTGATATTATTCCTATCACCTTAGAGGGTAGGAGGCCCTGCCTCTACCTATCATGCCTCATATTTTCTCCCCCTTTCTTTTGCAGGGGTAAGGCAGTGGTGCTGCCTCTGGGAATTGTAAGAGGCAAGTGGGCTTTCTGTTCTCTGGGACCTTTTTTTTCCATGGAAAGGGTTTAAATGTTTCTAAAAGGTCAGAAAACCACTACTAGGGTTTGCAAGCTGCTTCTTTGCCTCAGTTACAGTGGAGAACAGCCTTCAGGGAGGTAACTGTGGAAATGTAAAAACGAGAACTATAGGAAACTGTCCTTAAAGCAGTCTGTGTTCCAGAGATAATTCAGCTGCATTAGGTGTATTCTGTAGGGAATATGCATAGGCTGTATGTAAGGTTAGGTATGTAGGCTTTTGTAAAAAACAGTTTTTAAGTGAAAGTTAAATTACAGTTAGTAATTTTCTCCAAAGCAATATTCACTATATGTTATTTTTATTAAAATGCTTATGTAAAGCTGAAATCAAACCTTAGTTTAAAAATGCAGTTGGTGGGCGCCTGGGTGGCTCAGACGGTTAAGCATCTGACTTCGGCTCAGGTCACCATCTCATGGTGAGTGGGCTCAAGCCCCGCATCGGGCTCTGTGCTCACAGCTCAGAGCCTGGAGCCTGTTTCAGATTCTGTGTCTTCCTCCCTCTCTGCCCCTTCCCCGCTCATGCTCTGTCTCTGTCTCAAAAATAAATAAACAAAAAAAATTAAATAAAAAAATTTAAAAAATGTAATTAGGTCCCTTTAACTATTAGATTTTGGCTTTAGAATTTAACAGCTTAATGATTGCTAAATAACTGTGAAATGGCTGTGATAAATAAGACATGAATCCAACTCAGGTGTGTACAGCCTTTTTTTCTTTAGGATGTTTTACAAATTATTGTATCAACAGATATTTTAATTTTACAGATAAAAATGGAAAAGGATGCTAAGCAGAAAGGAAAAGCACCATTGCCATCGAGTACAAAACCTTCATGAAGACTATCCAATTAAGACCATCATCCAGATAGGTTTTGTTTGTGTTTATTTAAATATAATAATAGTTTATTTTCTCCCAAATTGTTTACTTCTTTTACTATGTAAAAATGTCATTTTGGTTGTTTCCTTAATTTATTGAAACAAGTGAAAATACTTTATATTACTTTCGTCAAAATTCATGATTTTGTATCTTGTCTATACTTTTTATCTGTCCTGACAAATGAGGTTATTTTCATATTAATCAAAACCTGAAAATACAGTAACTGTTTTCAGTCTGTCATAAATTATCTTTTTAAGGCTATTTAGAAAATTAGATATGTTATTGAGGGTTTTGACCACTGTTTAAAGTAAGTTAAAATCTTGATTTTTTATTTTCCAAACTTTGTAATCTTGATTTATGTTTTTAAATAAAAAACTGTATTTTAAATTATATAATCATTTTCTAGTGGTGTCTACTGATTTCTGAGTTGTTTTGTTAACTATGGATTGTACATAACTGTATTGGCACTTCCTGTGTGCCGCTTCAAATCCTCTCAGGCCCGCCTCTTACTCTATTACTGTTGTGAAACAACTTCAAGGCAGACTCTGACAGCTTCTCATGGACAAAAGTACAAATTTTATTTGATGGCACTTCATCTTGGGAGCATTTCATGACTCTCTTGCTTTTTTTCTCCAGGGATCCTCTGACATTGTGGCTTGGGATGAATCATAGATGTATGAAAGATATGGGGGAATTAATGACCTTGTGACCACCCTTGACTAATGGGTAAATCCTCTCTTCCATCTCCTAGGAAGATAATTCTGAGATGCCTTTCATGAGCTTCCTCAGAAAATCCTGTGGGACTGAGCACCAGTCACCCATAGTAGTGACCAACCCCATAATGTATTCTTATGTTAGCTTTCTCTACTTCTCCCTTTCTGATCCTTCTCGCTGATTACTTCTCAAATAAACACCTGTATGTGAGTATTTGTCTTAGGCTTTGCTTTTGAGTGGCTGGTAAACGCAAATCAAGATGGTTACTAGGAATGGCCTTAGAAAGCAAACCCTGTGGTTTGGATTCTGTGACTGGATAATTCACCTGACAGATGACAATCAAGACCCCATAGCTGGTGGTAAATGGTGTACTGATAACTTCTGTCATGGATACCAAGGCATGGATCTGTGAAGGAGTTTAAGATCATGATCTTCCAAGGGGCAAGATAGAAGGACAGCCGGTTAGGATGTTATCTGATTTGTAGATCCACTTGTGTAACTACTGGATTGCTCACCCTGTTTTCTGATCTAGAGCCCACTCGTAGAAGGGAAAGCCCAGATTCCTTGAGGAGGGGTCCTCAAGTATATATGATAAGTATCATATATATACTTGCCCCAAAGGTAAATATACAATTTACCAGTGTAACTTTGCAGATTTTTCAACCAAGGACCTTTGGATATAGAGTCTGAGCTCATATGGATCCCAAAGAACCCAAAACACTATTGTGGTCCTCTGGCTGTATGCAACCCAGTGACAAATGGAGTCCTAACCAAAGCCTAGCCCAGTGAGCATAATGCATCTGGCCCCACTCTTTGTTTATTTCTAAAGTGCCTCAATATATATAATTGGGATAGATATACTGTACTTAGAAGCTGATAGAATCCTTTAGCCTACGTTGATAACTCTTGCTTCATGCCCCAGATAATTTTTAGATGCTGCAGGCTTGGGTTAGAATTAATGACCCAAGGGCCTCCCTTGACCAAAGCATTATGTGGGCACAAAGTATGTGAGACTTCAACATCTATTAACCACTTTATGTAACTGACATTTATAGAACATTCAACCCACATTTTTTTAATGCACATTTAATAAACATTTACTAAGAAATACCATATTCTAGGCCACAAAACAAGTCTCCGTACTTTTAAGATAATTCAGATCATGATGTCTTCTGACCATAATGGAATTAAATTAGAAATCAATAACAGGGGCACCTGGGTGGCTCAGTTGGTTAAGTGTCTAACTTCAGCTCAGGTCATGATCTCACGGTTCATGGGTTCAAGCCCCACACTGGGCTCTGTGCTGACACCTCAGAGCCTGGAGCCTGCTTCGGATTCTCTGTGTCTCTCTCTCTGCCCCTCCCCTGCTCACAGTCTGTCTCTCAAAAAATGATGAAAACATTTAAAAAATCAATAACAAAGATATCTGGGAAGTCTCCAGAAATTTTAAAGTTATATAATAGCTAAATAATCCATGGGTAGAGGAAAAAAATAAAAAAAGGAAAGTAATTTTAACCGAATGAAAAAGAAAACATAACAGTATTTGTGGGACTAAAACAGTACTTAGAGGAAATTTCATAGCACCAAATTCCTATATCAGAAAAGAAGAAAGATCTCAAATAAGTGACCTCCATTTCAACTTAAGGAACTTAAGAGGAGCAAATGAAAACTAAAATAAAAAAGAAAAAGGAAATAATAAAGACCAAAGCAGAAGTATAAAACAAATGCAACAGAGAAAATGAATAAAACAAAACAGTTTGTTTGAGAAGACCAATAAAATTGATAAATCTCTATAGCTAGACTGATCAGCAAAGGATAGAAAGAGAACACACAAGTCACCAGTATTAGGAATGTGAGTGATGACATCACTATATGATCTACAGATATTAGAAGTATAATAAGGGAATGTGATAAACAACTTTACGCCAATGAATTTGACAATTTAGACTGAAATAAATTCCTCAAAATAAAAAAACTGAAGCTCATTCAATAATAAATAGGTAACCTGATTAACTCTTTATTGTATGCTATTAGCTCATATATCAATTAACTAATTTGTAGTTAAAAACCTTCCCACAAAGAAAATTCCAGGCCCAGATGGCTGCACTATGAAATTTACCAAACATTTAAGGAGCAAAGATTACTAATTCTATAAAGACTTTTCCAGGAAATTAAAGTTGGGAATTCTTTACAACTTAATCCATGTGGCCAGCATTACTCCGATATGAAAACCAGACAAAGACATCACGAGAAAAGAAAGTTTCAGACTAACTCCTCTCAAATATGGATGCAAAAATTTGTAACAATTTTAGCAAATCTAAAAATATGTAAAATGGATAATATATGTCATGATTGAATGGGTGTTCTCCAAGGAATGGAAAGCTTAACATGAAAATCAGTATAATTCATCATATTAACACAAAGAACCACATGGTCATCTTAATAGATATAGGAGTATTTGACAAAATTCAACACACATTCAAGATAAAAACTCTCAGCAAACTAAGAAGGTAATTTCTTCAATCTGATAAAGGGTATTTACTAAAAGCCACAGCTAACATCATATTTAATGCTGAATGGCAAATGCTTTCCTCCTAAAATGAGGAACATGGTGAGGATGATGGCTCTCAGCACTTCACTCAACAGACCGGAGGCTCTAGCCATTGCTGTAAGGAAAGATAAAAGAAATAAAAGATATTCAGATTGGAAAGGAAAAATTAAAGGTCTTCATTTGCATGTGACTTATTATATGCAGATAATTCTATTAAATATGCTAAAAAAACTCACTGGAAATAAATGAATTTAGCATTGATGCAGAAAATGAGATCAACATACAAAAATTATATTTCTATATGCTAGCAACGAAACAACTAGAAATTGAAATCAAGAAAATAATATTTACAATAGCATAAGGAATTCTTACAGATAAATTAGACAAAGATGTACAAAACTTTTACATTGAAAAATACAAAATATTGCTCAGAAATAAAGGAGTATCTTAAAAAATGGAGAGATATACACAGTGTTCATAGATCAGAAGACTCAATATTGTTAAGGTGTCAATTCTTAATTTATAGATTAAATATAATTCCAATAAAAATCTCAGCAGACTTTGTGTCTGTGTTGTGTGTGTAGACATTGACAAGTTAATTCTAAAATTCACACAGAACTGCAATGCTAAAATAACTCTGAAAAAGAACAAGATTGGAAAGCTTACAGTACCTGCCTTTAAGACTTACTATAAAATTATAGTAATCAAGATCGTGTGTTATTAGACTAAAGAATAGATTAGTGTAACAGAATAGAGAATCCAGAAATAGTCCTACACATATACACTTATTTATTTATTATTTATTTATTTATTTCTGAGATAGAGAATGTGCGGGGGGGGGGGGAGAGAGAGAGAGAGAGAGAGAGAGAGAGACCCCAAGCAAGCTCCATGCCATCCATTAGCACACCGAATGCTCACAAACTAACTGTCCGTGACCTGAGCCGAAACCAAAAGTCACTCAACTGACTGAACCACCCAGGCACCCCCAGTCAATTGATTTTTGACAGTGATGTGAAGGCACTTTGNGGGGGGGGGGGGGAGAGAGAGAGAGAGAGAGAGAGAGAAATACCCCAAGCAAGCTCCATGCCATTAGCACATAGACCGAATGCTCACAAACTGTCAGATCGTGACCTGAGCCGAAACCAAAAGTCACTCAACTGACTGAACCACCCAGGCACCCCCAGTCAATTGATTTTTGACAGTGATGTGAAGGCACTTTGATGGAAAAATAATAGCATTTTCAACAAATGGTGGTGGAAGAATTGGATATCCAAATGCAAAAATATAAATTTTGATTCATGCTTTGCATCTTATACAAAAATGAACTCAAGAAAGAATTATAGCTCTAAATAAAGCCTAAACCTGTAAAACTTCTAGAAGAAAATATAGAAAGCTATTGTGACCTGGTTAGCCAATGATTTCTTAGATACAACACAAAAGCATGATCTATAAAAGACAAAACTTCTAAATTGGACTTCACCAAAAGTAAGAACTTCTGCTCTTTGAAATATTCTCCTTACAGAGTGAAAGAATAAGCCACAAACTGGGAGAAAACATTTGCAAATTTGAAGGAGTTATGCCCATAGTATGTCACAAACTGTAAAACTCAGTAAGTAAACAATTCAGTTAAAAAATAGGAACAAGTTTGAATAGACACTTTAGCTAAGCAGCTGTATGGTTGGAAAATAAACATGAAAAGATGCTCAACATTTTAAGTAATAGAGAAATGGAAATTAAAACTACAAGGAGATGCTATTGTACACAAATGTCTAAACTTAAAAACATGGACCATATATAGTCAGTTAAGCATCTGACTCTTGATTTCGGCTCAGGTCATGGATCTCACCCTTCATGAGTTTGAGCCCTGGGTGGGGCTCTGCCATAGGGATTCTCTCTTTCCCTCCCTTTCTGCCCCTACTCATCTCTCAAAATAAATAAGTTACAAAATACATAAAAATAAAAATACAGAAAAAGGAAAATAAATCTGCATCTAGGGCACCTAGGTGGCTCAGATGGTGTGTGTTCAACTTCAGCTCAGGTCATGATTTCACAGTTTACAAGTTCGAGCCCTGAGTTAGGCTCTGTGCTGACAGCTCAGAGCCTGGGGCCTGCTTCAGATTCTGTGTCTCACTCTCTTTCTGGCCCTCCTCTGCTCTCGCTCTCTCTCTCTTAAAAATACACATTAACAACAACAACACAGACCATATAAGATGATGGTGAGGATATGGGGCAACTAGAACTCTTAAACACTGGTGGTGGAAATATAAAATAGTAAAACTACTTCGTGAAAACAGTCTAGCAGTTTCTTGAAAATTGAAATACACACAACAATATGGCCCAAACATTCTACTCCTAGGTATTAACCCAGGAGAAATGAAGGTGTATGCCATACAAAGACCTGCACATGAATGTTCATAGCTTTATTTTAAGCAATCCCAAACTGGAAACAATCTAAATACCTATTAAAAGGTAGATAAATTGTGTTATATTCATGTAATGGAATAGTACTCAGCAATAATGGGCAATAAACTGTTTATACACATGACAAAATGGATGGATCTCAAAATAATTATGTTGAGTGAAAGAAACCAGACAAAATATACATAGTACATGATTTCATTAACATCAAATTCTATAAAATGCAAACTAATGTATGGTG